TTTTAGCCCAGTGCTGCTGGGAAAATGTGTTCACTGTAGAATTGTTTTGTGAAATGTCTTAATACATATATGGCTCCATAGTATAGCTACCAAGTAGTCAATTGGTCGACCTTGTGACCTTACCAGATTTCACCTGTACGTGTTTTCTGGGAAAATGTTTTTTTTTTATGTTAATGGTATCAATAGTGATGCTGTTATTATTATTAGACATTATAATTATTATACTGTTACAGACATCACTAATAACAATACAAAAAAAAAAAAAATTTCAAATTTTAAGGAAAAGGGAAACAAGTGAGATAGGTGTACATGTTGACTTTAAAAAATCTGGCCATCAATAACAGTTCCTTTCTGATTTACCATTGATTTCGAAGCACATTTCAAATTTAGTGTTGGGGTGCCTCTGTTTTCTGGAATCACTGTTTATGTTTGGTGATGCGATATACTCCTGGATGAGCAGTTGGGTCTTGTTTGCACGTGCTAACAGGCATTCCTGCTCATGCCTTCTCATTTTATCATTTCTTTACTGTTGTATAGCCCCATGATGAATTCAGCAAAGAAAAGAGGTGGTGTATACACGTAAAATTGTGTGTTGATTGCAGAGAAATTGGAAATGCTAAGAAAACTTGTAGCAGCATGTCTGCGCAAACCATTAATGAAACTTATGATATTTGTGAAACATAACCTATTTTCATTGTTTAATTTTCTTTTGATACAGGACTGTGCACATAGTAATCTTCTGTTACATAAAGGCAGCATATATAACCATATAAAATCCGCCATTCTAAAAAATCTGGCAATCCTCAGGTCTGGAGGTTGCCAGATTACAAATTGGTTTATGGCTAAGTATTTTGGCACCATCTATGTGGAAAGACAGTAAATGAATTAAATTCACAGTGAGCATAGCATATGTATACATCCCATCCCTGCCGGCATATGCTAAGTATTTCATTGAGGGTTCCATAACAGTCCAGGGCCAGTATCACGTGCCTTAGAAGAAGCACAACCATTGTGGAGTTTTAATATTTATTCAGGCGTATAATTTTGGGTTAAATTTAAAAATGAAATTGAAGAATGTTTAAAGATATATAGTTTTGTCAGCAAGGTCCTTTTTTAAAGATTATATATACAGAAATAAAATGAGGATAAGTACCATTTTGTCATGACAAAATCAGTTTCTTCTACCAAAATTATTCAGACTTTGAGAACATAATAAAGAGTTTCTTCTTTGCTCCATAATAATGTTCTTTTGAACTTATGGCACCGCCTGGTTTTCATTATGGAAGGCAATACTTTTGTTGTTCTGCCAATGTGTTTTAGAGGCAATATTTTTGTTGGGAGTAAAATTAAGTCATTTTCACAAACTTTGGGAAACTACTTTGTAAGTCTACAAAATACTATTCATTCTGTATATAGATGCACAAACCACCATATTTTAAAGACACATGCATATATTTATGAGAGAGAGAGAGAGAGAGAGAGAGGAGAGAGGAGAGAGAGAGAGAGAGAGAGAAGAGAGAGAGGAGAAAGAGAGAGAGAGAGAGAGAGAGAGAGAGAGAGAGAGAGACAGACAGAGAGACAGAAGAACAAGAGAGAGAGAGAGAGAGAGAGAGAGAGAGAGAGAGAGAGAGAGAGAGAGAGAGAGAGAGAGAGAGAGAGAGAGAGAGAGAGAGAGAGAGAGAGAGAGAGAGAGAGAGAGAGAGAGAGAGAGAGAGAGGAGAGAGAGAGAGAATTTCACATGAAAGAATGATTACTTATAAATATCAATTTATAAATTTCTAAAGAATATGTTTTTTATAAATGATGTCAATTAATTTGAGTGATACATGGTGATTTGGAAAAAAAAATGCATATGTAGGACTGTGAGGGCATGCACAAGAAATTTGCCTTATATTAAGACCTATAACTGATATGTGATAGTTTGACTATCAGTCCTCCCTTCACGACCTCCTAATTTATCAGACATCCTTACAGAATCCCACACTTTCTGCTTGACAACCTGTTCTTCATCAGATGCATACATATCCTTCACTTGATCTAATCCCCGTACCCCCCCCCCCCCATCCCCACCGTAACCCATTCACTCACCAAACTCCTTTACCTATCTTTAACCTTTTCAATATTTCTCTAGATAGTTGACATAGAACAACTAACTACTAACTCAACCCCCCTTCACTACCCTTTACTGTACAGTCCTATGAGTGCTACATGACCTTAAATGTCTTGCAGTTATTTTGCTTTTAACTATTAACCATCAATTAGCAAGAGTATCAGATGTCAAGGCTGTACAATTTTTGTTAGATCTTAAAGTCTCCCCCCCCAAAAAAAAAAAAAAAAAAAAAAAAAATCATCATTATCATCAAGATCAAGACAAAGAATCGTCCATGTATTCATGGCAGGGCAGAGCATACAGCTGACATGGTGGTTAATGGTTAATGGTTGAAACAACTATCTGTGCTAGACACTAAAGGTCATAAAGACTGGTAAAGTACTGTGGCAAAAGGGTAAAAGAAGAGTTGAAGATGAAGATTAGGATAAAGTGTTAGATGTCAAAGATTAGAGAGCATTATAGGATGGTACTGTATCAGATTTTGAAAATGGAAAATGATTTTTAAAAATTTACATTTTTAATGCATCCCCATTTTTCGTTGTTACGTGCAATAATTCTGGAACAAAATTGTATTTCCAAAATTGAATATGTAGTTCAATTTATAATGACTTCTTCTCATTAAAATTACAATAGAGAAAACAAATATCTTTTGTACTTGAGATTGTTTGAATGAAGCCATAAAAGAAAGAAAAAGAAATATGACAGCAGTTCTCTGCAGTCAAATTTGAAAATAAGACTAAAAGATGTTAGGTAAAGTACTCTTCTACCTTGTCAAAATTTATCCCAAACTTTATTTTTTTGGATGGTCCCTTTAAATCTGATTTTTACAAGTGCATTATCTCGCATTTTTTTAAAAATCCAAATAAGGCAGATGAATTTTTTTGTTTGAAAGGAAGTAATACAATAATTAACTGCTTGATACTAAATAATTAATCTGATCAGGAAAAAGCAAGAAAATGTGGTAATAATAATTCAATAATAGAAAAAGTATCAGTAAAATGCAAAACATTTCCTTAGTGTATATGTGAAATAAAGTACTTTAAGTTGAAAACAGATGGATTTATACTATAGGTTTACTTCATAAAGCTATGTATTATTTTGTTTATATAAGTACATCTAGTTTGATTTTAATTGTAATATTATCAGAATAAGTAATAGTCTTTTAATAGTGCATTAGTAAAATTTTTGTTCATATGTAAATAGGGCAATTACCTTATAATTAATCCTGTCTGTGGGGGCATGCATGTACATGTCATGGCTGTTCCTGGACAAAGTTATTGGTGGCATCACAGTACTACCATTCCCATGCCATCAACTCATCAGACGGAGTTTGAAAGATGGAATAATGCACTGGCCGCATTTGATATTATGAATTATCAGTGGATAGAGTGCCTGTCTTGTGAATTCTTTTCAATGGCGGTGGGGGTTCGAATCCCTGTCAGAGAGGTTATAAATTCAGATGGAGTTTGTTTTACTCTGATAGTTGCGGCATAATTTCTATGGGAAACCTTTTAAGCAATAGCACCCGAGGTGAAGGTAATCCTTTAAAATATTTACATCTTTAAGAATTATTTCAAAATAAAGGGATTTAGGTGCCTAATGTTGCTCTCAAACTGCCGAACGAGTCTGGTGAAAACGAGAAACTGTTGTTACTCGCCAACAACCATGTGATCATGTCCATTTGCCAAACTTTTTTACAAGCTGATATTGGGTTAAACGTAATACCCGGACAGTAGAGAGATTGATAAAGATGATGCCCAGTTCCAAGCATTTTTTTTTTTTTATATGTCAAGGTTTTACCTATTTATGATGCACTAATCTAATTGTGTTGGAAGCCCCATGCTATACAGAACAACTCATTTGGATGCTGCTCCAGGGTAAAATCAGAAACATGTTAAACATAGACATAAACATACCCCACTCTGTACTCTTCACTGCAACATTTTTTTTTTTTTTTAAGTAAAAGAGGCCTAAAAGAGTTTTTAAGTTTCTTTTATAAAGCCATTTCTCCACTGTGAATGCTGCCAGGGTAGAAAAGAATGTACGACTCTTTAATGTGCACAACTTACAGCAGGACTGACCTAGCTTCAAGATGTCATCCCAGTGTATGGATGTGTATGGGTAAATCCATAACATACTGAACAGTAATTATATTAAAAAAAGTTGAAAATAGTACTTTAGAGCATTGTCTCAAATCACTTCATCCTACATGTTTTTTTCTATTATAAGTACAATAAATGTATTTTTACTTTATTGTAAACATCAAGTTTGAACTGGAATATAATCTGAGATATGGAAAAAATATATTTTCATTTGATATATATATCTATATACATATATTTTTTATATTTATTTATTTATTTTTACTGATAATTTGGAACAGATAATGCTAGCTCTGTGTATGTGCATGCATGTGTGTGCACTACATATATACCTGTACAGGATATATGTTACCAACTGAATGCATGGGTATGTGTATGATGCAAGTGAATTATTCAATTCTTTCTTAATACAAGTATTATTATTCACTAGCTCCATTACTTATATCACCAGATATGATAGGTGATGTACTTCATGTCACTGGGATATTAAATAAATTCCTGAAAGGTTCAGTGTTATGTAGGGTATATTGTATATACTTTGTTTTACAAAGTCTAAATACATTGCCTTTTTCATATTTTTTTCTTCAAATTCTTCATTTTTTTCGTAACAGGAAAATGCATTTAAAATGTAATTCTAGGATGGTTAACTTCTTTTTTATGTAATATTTAACTGTAAAAGGTTGATGTATCAAAGTGCAATAATGAGTGTATACTAGTGTGCATGTAAAATTGGAATGTACAGTATATTAAAATAAATATGTATGAAATCATGTATAATAAAAAAAATATCACATCATTCTTCTTTCTATTTGCCATGATACATACAGCTTACAAAGAGTCAAGTTTATATAATGTCATGTTCAAGACTACAATAAGGCATACTCATGTTATTAGACATTTTGAATACAATCAATATCAATGAGGAAAACATATGTAAAAATATATTTGTCTTTATTGATATGAATCTCATTTTCATTACAATTTATCAAAAGTCACCAACACAAAAGAATAAAATAGCCCTACAAAGGAATTATCCATGCGAGTATGCAGGGGTAGACTAGCACATTATTTACATTAGAAATAGAAAAGGACTATTTTTGACCAAACTGAATCATAGAATGGTTCAGTCAAGTTATGGTATTTTTTGAAAGGCATACTAAAAAATTATGACTGGAATATGTTTAATAATAATTCTATCCAACCTTTACAAATTAGATTAAACTTTCATATATATCATATACACTGTTTATTTACAAATATCAAGAGGTAATTAGCTAATAATTTATGTTCCTTTGATTTTTGTTTACACAATTCAAAAATAAACTTCCTTGCTACTTTTTCAATACAATTTATTTTCCTTATCTCCTTTGGACAGCTTGGAAATTCTGAAGTTTAAAATTTGTTATTGTCCATTCTGGAAGCTTGCCTTCTGTATTCGCGATGGAATCTGCAATCACAAGTTTCTTTAAAATTGGTTCAATACTGAATTTATTTGAATATTTTTTAGAATTTTAACTCAGATAATTTCTTATGCTCTTCTTGTTTGCTGTACTTTCTGTACATATTTTCTTAAGTGCATTTAAAGGTGATTTAAGCCAAGAAAACATGCCTGAAAGTACAATCAATGATTGGTAGTGCTAAAACTAAAACTTTCTTTCTGCTTTTATTCTTATTTCCAGTGACAAATGCATATATATTAAGTAAAGGCATGTAGAGGAAGATTAAAAATAATACTATAAAAGAAAGAAGAGGAAGAAAGAAAGAAAGAAAAAAATATGACGCAGAGGTGCAAAACACCTCATATCTTTCCTAGAATCTACATGTCTCTAATCATTTCATCCATACAATAACTATAGAATTAGCTTGGTAAATACAAAGTACATAAAGGCTTACATTCGTTGTATAGAATCTATGCAATATATAGATAAATATATAATTAAAATTTCAGAATACCTGAACATAATCAATCAAAATGATTTTGGTATCAATGGATTCCTCTCACTCTACTATCCAAATATACTGAAGCCACCACCACAACAACATTATATCCCCAGGAGAGGGAGATAGAGCATCATAGAGGATACATAGAAATAGCAGAGTAAAATATGAATGACATACACAGAACGGTCATTATATAGCCTAATGAAGGGGCTGGCTGTGCCAATGGAAGACAAATCGATCCACGTATTCATGGTAGGGTAGACCTTACGACTCAAATGGTGGTTGGTTAATGGAAAGTTAAAGCAAAAAAATATGATAGACACCAAGTCATATAAAACTGGTAAAGTATTCAAAGATATCAAAGACCCCCCCTCCCAATTAGCAACAATCTTGGCCCCAATAACAAGGGAGGCCATAAGAAGTACTAAGGATATTGCAGGGTGAAAATATACAATCAGTCACTATATAGCCTAATGGCAACCCCCACAATAAAAGACAAAGAATCATCCACGTATTCATGGCAGGGTAGAGCGTACAGCTGACGTGGTGGTTAATGGTTGACAAAAATATATGTGCTAGACACCACGTCATATAGACTGGTAAAGTACTGTGGCAAAAAGGGTAAAGAGTTGAAGATTAGAATAACATGTGTTAGATTTCAAAGATTGGAGACCGTTATAGGATAGTATTGTAGTGAAAAAGGAAAAGAAGGGAGGAAATGAAGTAGAGCAGAGATTAGTAGAAAGGTGAGGGGAGGGGGAATATATATATATATAATAATAGTAACAAAAATCATAATAGGAAAAAATTATCACACTGATTTTCTTCAAATTTGAATATATTGTGTATTTTAGCATTCTGCACCTTTTGGTACTAAATTTATACATATCTCCCAAAGGGGAGTGAAGACCCTCTCAAAAGACTTATTACCCCCCATTTTTTCCACAAATGTCACTCGTGTACTGCTATTGGCCCACACTGTTGCATACTTTACAATGAAAACAAAAATCAGCATAACCATCAATAAAATCTGAAGAGATTGATGTCTCATTTTCTAAAAAAATTGCATTTTTTTTTTTTTTTTACAAAGAGGAAAAGATTGATGTTCGAGTTAATTTTCTCTCAATTTCCTTTAATCAGTCTCTATCATCTAATCAACAGAGAAACTACATTCATTTCCCTTTCTAATACTGCTTATTAGATGAAAACATGGAGATTGGTTATTGTGACTAATAGATCCTATACAATTTCTGTGGAATTCCATTAGCTCTCCAGTGATATGAACAAATCTTAGATTTGACGTAAACTGTTTGAGAATAGCTGTACAGAAGCTTGAAAATTTCAATTTGAGGAAAAACTGTGAACGTTTCTGTTAATTTTGTGAATCTTTCTTCTGTGAAAATTCATTATCTAATTAACTATAAAACTATATACATTTCTCTTTCAAATGCTATTTGTTGCATGAAGAAGTCTTGACTGGTTCCCGAGTTACAATATAAACTAAAATGCTACCTCTGTACACAATAAACTTGGCAACATGACATATGGATAAACACAGTTATTGCTTGTCTCAGGCCACTTGTATTAATGTTTTCTAGCATCTACTCTAGCATCGTTCCAGTAGGGGATAAATATATGTGTAAAAACTGCCAATGCCGCAAGTGACTGGCTAGTATTCACAGACTCTGTCACAGCTGAGTTTTTCTTTGCAGAAGTTTACATTTATTTGGGTTATTCTACATTCCTATATAAGCGTGTAAATGGGTTCAACTCATTTTCGACAAACCCAACCCCCCAGACCCCACTACCTATTTTTAAGGACGGTCCCCTGAATGGGGTTGGGTGATTGAGTGAATTGTAGTGACTCTGTTACTGGGGAAGGAATAGGAACGTTTAAGGAAAACAGAGATGGCTGTTGGAAAAGTAGGAGGAAAAGAATCCAAAGGGGAGTTAATGTCAAAGATCTGAGAGCATTATAGGATAGTATAGTAGGGAAAAGGGAAAAGAGAGCAAATGAAGTAGAGTAGAGATTCGTAAAAAGGAAGGGTTAAGGGGATAGGGTGGTTGAGTATATTGCAGTTTATCTGTGAATTGAGAAGGAATAGGGGCATTTTTCAAGGAAAACCGATGTGGCTCTTGAAAACATAGGAGGAGAAAAATCGGAGAGATGAGAAAAGGGGACTGGGAATGGTGGTGAAGTATCAGGAAGAGTGCCAGGAAGGAAAGGGTCTGGAGAAGGACGCTGTTGTGTCAAAAAGATTCGTGTGAGCATTCAGGTGGGAACAGTAGAGGGAATGGGGTGTGTAGATTGGAAAAGGAATTTGATTATGGGAGAGGGGGAGCAGAGGTAGGATGGTTTGAGGTAGAGGCATGAGATACTGGGGGAAATGTTGAGACCTCTTGAGAAGATGAGAGAGGAGCAGAGGGAAGGACAGTTTTGGAATAAGTAGAGAGAGAAAAACCTCCTGTCTGGCTTCATGTACAGTGAAGCCTATCTTTAATCTGAAAACTGCTACCTCACATTCAAGCTTATAGGCAGGGCAGCTCCTATGAAATACATTATGGAGCCACCACAATTGGCATATGCACGGAACAGACCACATAGAGGGCAGCAGGCTGTGGAGTGATAGTTTGTCTGGGAGGCCAAAACGGCAACATTTCTGACATTGACAAAGATAGGGTTGATATGGCCAGACATCATAGGAAACTCCACCAATATAAACTTCATGGGGGAGGTCATGTCTACGGAAGCTAATCTTGGTAATTGGCATGGGTCTTACCCTGGCCTCTGCAAGAAATAGTGTAGCACTGTACTGCCACTGCATCATAGTCAAAAAGGCAGACAAGAAACTCATTTTCACAATCTGATGAAGGGGCAAGCCTTAATGCCCCTACTAGGGGTAAAGAATCTTCATTATTGGCCATGGTGAGCCTGAATAAAATGAGGAAAAGAAACAGTCTACCCCTCAGGGTCCCCATAAGGGGTGAGGGATAAGTGATTGACAAAGGGATTCTTGTCCCCATGGCTCCTGGAGGCTGTTTATAACTGACACAAAGCCAGTCTTTCATCCTTTCAGCACAGCTCTCACATCTTAGGAATGGGATAGTAGAAGGGGATGAAGAAGATATGGAGGAAAGGAGGAGAAGAAAAGACCATGAAAAATTGGTTGAGGCAGGGGCTGAGGCCTAAGGCAGGGCAGATCCCATTCATTGGGCTTTAGTTTCCATCTCCTAAGCCCCCCACAATACCAACAAGCAAGGGATTAGGGGGGGGGGGGTATGACCAACATGTGGGAGCGCCTAATGCCAAGTCTGTATTACGCTCTATCTTGCAGTGAATATGTAGTGGATAGCAGCCCACCATGGGAAGGGCAGCAGCCCACTATATTGCTGAATGCAGGGGGTGCAGCCCCTTACATTCAGAAGTTTAGTGAGATATTATCTTCATTATGTTATCATATTATTATTAGTTTACCCCATAATTTCCCTGATACCTTTCATGCCCTCCCCTGCTATTGGCACCAAGAATGTGGGGGTGCCATGGCATGGGATAATTCCTACATATAAGTGTACTAGCAAGTAAGAGGAATCCACTGATACCAAATATTAGCATATATACATATATAGAGATTCACATAAATATATAAAGATATGATATGCAATAATATATATGTGTGTGTGTGTATTATATAAACATACACACACACACACACACACACACACACACACATACACACACACACACACACACACACAACACACACACCACACACACACACACACACACACACAGATCACATAGATATTATATATATATTATAATATATATATTATATATATATATATATTATATATATATATATATATATGTTATGTATGTACATATATATCTACAAACCTATATACACAAAATATAGAGAAATGAACTAATAAAAACATGTTATTAAACTTACAACAAAATTACTTGAAAAATAAGTAAATAAACATATAAATAAACAGATAAAAAAGCTACAAGACATTAATTAACACTCACCTTGCAAAATACTCTAACAATATGATTGAATGTTTTTCTAAGTTATAGGGAATGCGTGTCCCTATTACTATCACATCAATATCACAGTACTTTCGATCTGTAGGGGGAAAAAAAAAAATCTTTATCTTTTCTATTCACATATCATTCTCCAATCTTATATATATATATATATATATTTATCTATATCAAAAGCATGAATCTTTTGAAGTATTACAGCCCACTCAGAATGAAGTACACTCAACCCCCTGGTATCACATGTTCTAAAATTGCATTACACCAATTTTGATTGGTTACATTATTGGTTGAAATTAATCAATGATTGATATCTCACCCTCAACACTGCATCAGCAATACAGGGTCTTGACAAAAAGAGTGCATAAAAGCAAGTGTTACAGGTAACTTTAATTTTTGTGGGTATGATCAATGACTATGAGCTTCTTGGATGATCTTGACTAGCAAATGATGGAAGTTCTGACAAGTGAGGTGCAAGCTAGCTTTGTTTAACCCACTGACTGTGAGTTTATGTACTGTTCCTTGTATTTTTTGTGAATTTCATTACACATAGATGGCTCCACAAATGCTCAGCCACCAAAGGGTAAAGTAATGGACCTCAGTGACAGAACCTGATTTCCCCATTAACTGATTTGCTGGAATTGTTTTTTTTTATTCTTTTAAAACTTTTATTATCACTGTGATACCATGCATATCATAATGTTATCAAAATGCAACCAATTATAGAAATAATAAAATAATTGTTTGATAAATGTTCTACAAAAATCAAGGAAAGGGTACAGCTGATGTAGGTAGAACTAATAACCAACTCCTTCGTAATTACGCACTTCTGGAGCCATATCTGTTTTAAATACAATTAATAAACTAGTATAGCAGTGGACATAACATGTATTTTTACTATCTATAGCCAACGGTTATTATAGAAATAAAACTAATTTATG